CTGCATCCCCAGTCCCTCAATCCCAAAACACTCACAATGGCAATGCGGTCTGGGCTCGAGGACAACGCAGCATGCGACACAATTTATCAATTAAAGGAAATTCCGAATTTTCAAATCCCTGCCATTTGGCATTTGTTGTTGTGCGAGGCCTTCTAATTACGCGACATGCGCTGACAAATTTTCACAGTGACAATTTTCTATTTCGGGGCAGGAGAAGGGGTCCCATTTTCCCGTCCATTTCCCATTTTCCCAGCACAATGCTCGCTCGTAAATCCCCATAAACGCTGATAATGGCTGTCATTTTTCGGTCGCCTGGCATTTGTCTGATCGATCGAATCGATCCTGCAGATTGCAGTTGGCATGATGCTGCATCCCCTTACTTTTTTCCCCCCCTTTTGGCTAACCGCAGAAGTGTCCTGGCCAAAAGGACCAAGGACCAAGGACAAACAATGCAGCACGCACAGCATGTGGTCCCCACATACACACATACAGCATATCCATGAATGTAAAACCAAGTCCCTGAATAAAAACCGAAAACCAAACAATACCATTTATGCATAGGTGGGGGGTTACTTAATATAATATACAACAAAATACAAATCTTTAAATTGAAAATCGCGCCTGATGTGTTTGTGCGTTAATTTCGCTGTGTTTTGTCAAACTTTTTAATTGCTTAACGAACCTTCAGCACAATTGGCATTTATCCACGTTTTCGGGCGACTTCCCCTGAATAACCCGACGCATTATGAACACTCCACTGATTCGGAGGTTCCCCTTCCCTTAGAATTTATTCCTTTTCTCGCATAATTCATAATTCGATTTTGTTGGCATGCAAATCGGTTGGCCTGAGTGGCCCAAAGTTTGGAAACACTTATCCTTAATTAACATATTATACTAATGTATAGATGAAGAATACAAAATTTAAAAACCTTTTCAAATAATCCTTTGCTGAAATATTATCCATTATCCAACAAGTGAAGCACTTGAAATCTTTGAAAACATATTTTAGTAAAACTATTTCAAATATTTTTTTAATGTTAGGCAAAGAAGTAAAAGTTTACGTACCCTTAAAAATTATTCTAAAATAGTTTACACTGATACAACAGTGACGCCTTAAAAACCTTTAAAAATGTAAATATAGTAAGAAAGGTTTTCTTTTACAATTTCAAGCTGCTTAGACAGCATTTTTACAATTATTTATTATTAATAAATTATTTATTGATTGAATATCAATGATAATTTCCTGTAAGAACATTTTCTTATTATTTTTTCATTTCCAGATTCTTAGATATTTGTTGCCCCCTGTTTTTGATTACACGTTTCGATAAACCCTTAAATATATATCCGACTAATGCAAGTCTGTATTACTTTTTGTGTGATTTGTTTACAACATATAATTTGCGCAAACATCGCGAAAAAAAGCCACAACAAATCGAATAACAAAAGAAATATGAAAAAAATTAAACGTTTGTGTGCAAAATGTTCGACAAAACGCTGACCGAAGTGGGCGTGTCCCGGCCCCCTGATTATATTACAGGCAAAAAAATAATAATAATAAACAGACAACAATGAGCAAAATTAAATAAACATTGCTCGTCGCGTCTGTGATTATGGCAAATAAACGAAACGAAAAATTATAATGGAAAATGTGAAAAATGCGAATGGGACAACGGGTTGCTTTTCAGATGCCTCCGACCACATATAGCCCATATATATCATACCATATGACAATGGCTGACTGGAGACACAGAAAAAAAGAAGAAAAAACTGTCAACGGAACGAGTGCCACGCCCCCGAACCGCCTCCCCCTGTAATTACGCGGTTAAAGTTAATAATCAGTTTATATATCTATTTTGTTGTGCTGTTCGAAATGAGAGTCCCATGGATGATACGCATAGTTGGAGACCGTGTGCGAAAGAGAGGGGCGATGCGCGGGTGCGAAAGAGAGCGCAGATGGCTTAACCCTCCGCTGGCCAACCAACGATTGTTTGTTGTGGCAAACAGCGACCGCCGATTGGCTTCACTTGGCCCGGCTTCTTTTTCTTGGCCCACCAATCTGTTTGGCCATCTGCTGGAGGGTTTTCCCCCATATTTTTGTAGCCCCCACCTATTTTACCTATTTTTTTCTTACCATTTTTTACTATTTCTCTCCACCATTCAGCTGGCCATGCTTGATGGACCTTGGTAATCGCCTTGCGGTCACCGGAGAAGTCAAAAACGGTAGTATCTCGGGGTTTGCGTGCACTTTTCTAACTGCCATTTAACTGCAAATTGAAAAACGCATTGAAATACTATGCCATACCAAAAAACTAGAATAATAACCGACATATGCGTGCAATGGAAAAACGTCAACGGGCAGACGAGCATTTTCATCCTCATCTCGCCGTCACGCACCTGGCAACCCTTTTTTCTACCCATTTGTTAAACCATCTATCTAGTATTTGTCTGCTTTTTAGGCTGCGGCACTCACGCACTTTTCTGTGCAACGTGCAACGTGCCACTTGCCCTGGCAACTTGCCACAGTGTAATTGCGATAAGTACAGGCCGGGTCGAGACTATTGGCCACAAAACTTGGCCCAAAAGCCGCAGTCACTCAATCGAGGCGAGGGGATGTACTGTTTTCTAAGATGGCTCAGGATTCTGCATGTTCTACGAGAAATTTAGGAAAACAGGACTATCTCAGCATATTTTTAATGATTTATTTCCACAGTCAACTGAAATGGTGGTATAATTTTATTTGTAAGAAGAAAGCAAAACGAAATCATAATCTTATTGTTTGTAAAATAATTTTCTTAGCAAATATGGTAAATATTTTAAAATAATAATAAATTTTATGATATTTAAATGGTTTTGAATATATTTAAATTGCATTATAGTAATAATATTAACGCCATTGTAAGCAAGTAATTACTCAGCATTTGTTTCTGTACTTAAGACCTCTCAGAAACAGCATTATCACACCCTTTTTTGGACCTCTTCCACATTTTCCGAGTATCTGAATTGCTACCATTCAATGTTAATAACCAAATCCTATCATAAACCAATTCCGGGGAATCCCCCGTAAGCCTTCTCATTAGGCTGTCATAACTGGGCTCCACCCACCACAGGGACTCCTCCCCAGGACGAAAACCCATTAAGGATCTGATCCGCATTAGCTGCGAGTGCGGAAGAGATCGGCAAATGGGTTTCTAGTAAATTTTTAAGTGTATCAGCGCCCACACAATTACGCAGCCAGCTGGCCACGCCCCTCAAAAGAGGGCGGAAGGGCGGAACGGTAGTGCAGCATTATGAATCTCTCAATATATATATTTGTATATGCACAAAAAGGATTACGAGGACAACGCGCAGCTGATTAGGTCGACACGTTCCAGGCAACGCTTGTGGGTACACGGAAAAAAATTATTACGTCTTTCATAGATTTCGGATTTGTTCAGAAAAAAGTCCATTATTTAAATATTCTGTAAAACATTGTAAACATTTTTTTAAACAATACCATTACATAATACGTTTTTTTACATATTATATTATACATATTATACCCATAAACAATTTTTGGATATCCAATTTTTATAAACACAGAATAATACACAAAGTTTTTAAAAATTCCAATAAAATTAAAGTTTTTTAAATATTTTTAAATGTAAAATGTAATAACATTTTACCATCAACAAACCGAATTTAGAACATTTTATTTAGTTTATAGGGAAAGCCACAAGTATCTGTTATATTAAGGAGATTTACAAATGTATTTCATAAACATAGATGGCTCCGAAAAAAATACAAAACAAATAGTCGTATGCCTGTGAATATTTCTTTGTTTGCTGTGCAGATTACTTAAAATAAATTCTACTTTCCTATACAAAATAAAATTATTTACAATCAATTACAACAAAATACTGATACATTTTTTAAAAGCACAAAATATTTATTGATTAACATTGTTGACAAAAATTGTCTTAAAAATATCGGTTAATTAATTAATTATGCTGTTTTTGTTTAATGTGCCAAATATTTAATATCAATTATTAATTTCTTACCAAATTGAAAAACAATATTTTTTAAAATACTTATAACATTTAGTTTATGATTTATTTATTGATATGCTTACAGTTTTCATTAAAATGCACACAGAAAACTCGTGTAAAATCCAAAACAAAAGCCCAATGACTATGCATTTTTTTTTGCTGTGTAGCCAAGGCACCGGGCCATGGAGAGGACCTGGTCGAAGGACAAAGGACATTCCCGAGGCTGGGCAGCGAGATGCAGGGAGCAGAATAGGAGGCGGCGCGGAGGCGGAACGGGCGTGCCAATTGTGCGACGAGCGACAAACGCGAGCTCCTTTAAAATGCACCAGGAGCAGCAGGATCGGGAAAGCAGAGGCTGAGGTGCAAAACCCGAGTCCTGCCACGCCCCCAAAGAGCAGCAGCCAGGACCTTCGACAGCCGGCCCATTTCTGGCGCGCGATTTTATTATTTCTTTTTTTCGGTTCTCTCTCATTTTTGCTTTTTTGTTTTTGAATCCCAGAAAAAGGAGGTGGAGGCAGCGATTCATTTGACGGGCGGGAGCGACACGCCCACTCGGCACATGGGTATGGAAGGGGGGTGGGGGGCGGCAAGGACACGCTGCCTGTCACATGTCAAACCGGAAGTGTGCGAAAACCAAAGGCAAATAATACACTGCTGCAAAACGGATTTCTACGGTGAGCTGGGCTAATTGCTTTAGTGCAGCGGTTTCATGCTTTTATTTAAAATTAACTAAAAATATATCATCTTTGAGTAGTTTTTAGTTAAATAAGAGGTCGTATTTCTTTTAAATGGTTATTTAAATATCAGTAATTCGTTTTATAATATATAGAAGGAGAAATATTCTAATTGGCTTGGAAGTAAAAGTTACAAAAATATTTGCTCAACAATTAAAAAGAAAAACCAAAGCACTACATCAAAAAAGGAATATAAGTAATTTTAAATTGCTTTGAAATTTTAAGTACCATTTCTTCAAGCTATAAAAAATGTTTATTAATAAATAATTACTTTATACCTTAAAACACATTCCCATTTGCAAAAGGTTTATATTTATATCTATATTACAATGATACGATAAATAAAAAAAAGTTTAAAGGAATGAGCATTTGGGAAATTTTGTTTTACAAAATTAGAACATTTTATATGCCTTATTTCTATTAAATAATTTTCTTTTAGTGCAGAGTATGGCACTCGCTCTCGAATTCTATTACGCTGTCTGTGATTTGTCGTAATTACGCAGTACTCTGCAGCTCGTGTGGTGCGTCCTGCACCCTTTTCGGGCATTGAATTCCGCATTCCGCACTAATATAATTATAGAGCCCGGCCGGAAGTGCTTTCACAGCACCCAAAATCTGAGCCCGGGGTGCCAGAAGTGCTGGAAAGCCAGCAATTCAGAGATCCAGGCGACCAGGAACTGCTGTTGCGTCTGCGTCCCGAGTCTCCTGGCGAGCGGAAGCCATGTCCTTGCGATTCAGATTCACTGATTCCTTGATGGATCGGTCCTCGGAATCGGAATCGGAATCGGCATCTGAATCTGAATCTGGGTGCTGGATCGACATCGCCATCGACGCACTCTATAATTATCGCAACAAAGCGCCGAGTATCGTTTTTCAAGCATCCTGTCCCGAGTCCTTTGCGTCCTTGCAGCTGCCTGAAAAACAGTTGCCAGTTGGCAAATAATTTGATTTCAAAAAAATTGAAAATTATTATCGAGTGCCCCTTGGTGACAAAATGAAAAGCGTAATTTTCGCGCGCTGTTTGAGTAATTGAAAGATTGATTACCCTGGAGGGGGCAGCCGAAGAGCACGTGCTAGGACCTCTCAGGACCTCTGAGGTCGTCGGGAGGTCCTTCAGCGTAATTCCCTCAACTCAAGCTGTGCGCAAATAGCGGCATGATCGATCAAATAGTGCTGTCATAATGGAAAGGTCCTTCGGAATATGTAAGCAGATTCTAAAGATATTTTTGTATTATTCCAGAATCAACTTTAATGTGTCAGTAGATTTCATTAACGTTAAGTCTATAAAATTGTTCAGTTCTAATGGAAAAAATAAATATTTAAAACGAAGACTATTTTTGACATAATTCAATGCAAAGAAAAATTCACAACAAAAGAAAATAGATGATAAAATTATAATTAAACTTTATAGAAAAGCTCTTGTGATTGAACACTTCCTAAGAAATAACTGAAGTATCCGATTCAAGTCCCATTTCGGAATGAAAAACAGAGTTTAATCATAAGATAATACACCTTTATTGTATTTCCCTTTTTAGCCAACTTAGTGGCAATTCACACCATTTAAAATGCAAAGTGCGCCTTTAATTGTGATCAAAAAGAGTCAGAGAAACGCAGGCAGGCTAAAATTAAGTAGCAACTTTCCTCTGTGATTTTCCAACGAAATCTCTGGTCCAAATCTAATGTCTCTATGTGCCAGCTGACGCAAAAAAAAAGGAAAAGGGAAACTCGCGCTCGGCAATTACTTGGCCTAAACCAAGTAATGATAAATAATTAAGGCGAAACAGCGCCAGATTAATATGCATTTATTCACACTTTGGCGGGGGAGCCAGAGCCAGTGCAACAAAGCCACTAAATGTATCTGGCATCTGTTTCGGCCCAGTTGGATTGCGGATTGCGGATTGCGGATTGGCCTGCTCGGGCTCGAACAATGCCAAATGGAGATGGAAAATTGCGAGTATCACTGCAATGCAGTAGCACTATGGCCAGCACAATAACAACCACAACCACAACCAGTTGCTGCCTAAGTAACAATTTCCACGAATGCCAGGGAACTTAATAATACAACGAAATCCATTTAATAAGCAACTGCAAATGGCAACGGCAGCAAACTGCAACAACAAGTGCACAGCCGGCAATCAGTGGCAGTCATAAAGAGGGGCTTAATAAAGGGGGTTTTTCCAAAACGGGGGAACAGGGGTCTCCACCGAAGCCATTCCAATGTGCGATGATCGCTTCCTGTCGATAAGATGCGCCTAATAACAATGCTTCGATGGCCCCGAGTCTCGAAACTGGCCACTCCGGGCCAAAAAGCAGGCCGATGGCCAGGAGTCCCGATGCTTGTAATCACGCTCAACGGCAGCAAACAAAATTCCGCAAATTATCATAAAAAATTACAATAACAACGGCAGCATTTCGATCCGATCCGATCCGATCCCCAGTTCCAGTCCCCCGAGTTTCGGACTCGATCGGGAATCTGCACAGAGACAAAAAGCCAGCTTGGCCAGGGGGTTCCAGCTTGGGTTCTCAAAAAGCCCAAGTCGAAGCTGCAAATACCCTAGAAAAGCAATTTGGATATTTATTTCAGGATGTAGAATGTATAAGAACCAGTATCCGAATGGAACAATCAATTAAAATATATAACTATATATAAAAAACTATTCTAAGAGAGAAATAAATATTTACGTAATGTATAATACGACACAAATACAAATATAATAGAATAAATAATACTTTAATGATGGTTGTTGTTTAGTTATTATTTCCTTAAGATATTTTTAGAACTAACCATAAAACTAATGTATAGGCAATAAGACATACGAAATAAATAAATAATATCATACATAATACTTTAATGATGGTTGTTTAAGATATTTATATTTTTGGTTGTAAAAAAAGTTTTTTAAAATTTCTATAAGGTAATTTTTAGATCTAACTAAAGGCAAACAGATAAATAATATAAATGAAAGCCAAGGCACAAATTCAATTACATCATAAGTAGAACAATACTTAAATGACGGTTGTAAAACAAAATAATTTTAAAATGGTTTAAGATATTTTTTAAAATTAATCGAAGGCAAAAATTAAGTAATAAATCTTAAATAATATAACATATTTAGTACTTGTTGTAGAAAATATTTATGTGTTTGGATACTAAAAGGGTCTTTAAAAATTCATCAAGGTAATAATAGAGTTAATATCATAAAAATTACTTAGATGATAATTAATTCTGTAAATTTTGTCCCCCCAAAAGTCAGGTCTATATAATCGGTTGACCCACGTGGATGTGGTAACCATCGCCGGCGATGGCTGCTGCTTAAAGTGTAAGAGCAGAAGTCAATCATCTTGGTGGACCATCCATCCAGTTTTTTTGCCTTTTCCCCAAGACACCCCAAGACTGTCGGGTGTGGCCCAAAGGGGCATGGGTTTGCATGCCAGCAGCAAATAAAACGCAGCACACACGCACAAAATGGTAAACAACAGCGGCTTTTGACGGCCATTGCTTTTGGCGCAATGGCGGGGTGGCAGGGGCTGAGGCAAGGGGGGCCTCTATATTTTTTCCCCCTTTTTTTCCAGCCAAACTACTGACTGCAGTAACTTTGGCAACGTTGTTGGCTTCGTTTGGCTTGCGTGCCAAGTGGCAATCAGTCACGTTGGAAGGCGTTGTCCGCGTGTTGTTGCTGCTGTGCGGCTGCATGTTGCTAGTTGCTGGTGTGCATGTTGCTGGTTGCCGGTTGCCAGTTGCCGCTGTAGATGTTGCCAGTTGCTAGTTGCCGATATATACATATATATATGTATATGTATAACCTGGCGGGCCGGTTTTCTTCCAATCCAATCGCCGCTCCAACAGCCATCCCTTTCTGGCCCCGCAATATTGCGATTTTAGCTCGCGATTGTTGCCATTTTGCTCGGCCGGCCAGCCAAACTAAACCGAAAATGCGTCATTTCGAGCGAAAAGAAAGCGGCTAACAAAAACTGAATAATAAGCTCAATTACGAATGCGCTGGCTTTTCGTTCTCTGCAATTTCCCGGGGGCTCTGGCATTAACTTACCTGCGAAATGGCCCGCTAACCGTTAGTTTCGCCGACGATTCCGGCCCATATTGATCCCATCGATTCGATCGATCCATTGATTCCACGCAGGTGCCAATCGCGGCTTACGTGCCGGAATGCGTTTTCGTCAGGGGAGGGGGGCTTACTTCTGATTGAGTGCCAATCGGCTGGATATATATAACCGGCTACTGAGTTTGGCTTACGTAATGCCAGCATTTCAATTCGTTGTCCCAATGGTTTTCTTAGAAACAAATTTCTAGTAATTGCAAAGGGAAATTAAATCGTTTCATGTTTATCCTTGAGTTTTATTTAGTATAAGTTCTACTGCCACCAAAACATTTACTTTTTTAGTTTTAAGAACAAACATTAGTCAATGTATTTGTATAATTGTTATATAATGTGAATTTTAGTTGTAAGATATGCCAACCTTCTTTTGTATTTTTTTTAATCTATACTATTTTAGATTTGTGTCTCCATGGTGTTGGAAACATAAAAAGTATTTGGCTTAATTTTCTTATCCATATCCCTAGTACTATCATATAATTCATCTTGTTTGCATCTTGTTTTTAATGTGTCTACATTTTACATTAGACAAAAAAAGTATTTTAAAGTTCTTATTGCTTATCCAGACCAAAAAGTGTACATCATTAGGACAGTCTTCAAAAAGTGTACCTTTTCTTAATGTAGATTCTTGTTATAGATGGGCTTATAAAAGCCTATCTTAACCTGAGAATATGCCTCTTAAGTAAGAACACTCAAAACTATTTATATGTATAATAAATGAAACCATCTGCTCACACAAAATTAATTTTAAACCTCTAAAATCAAAACATTTAAAGCAATTCAGAAATCAACTTGACACCTCTTAAATCAAAACATTTAATGGGTGTTTCTTTATAAACGGTCGAACAATTCCCTCCAAGGTTCTCAACATAGAGATACACATTTCCAGATACAGATACCCAATTCATCCGTCGGATCCACGTGGTTCCGCTGGACAATTGAATCTGGTGACGTGGCCCAGTTGGCGGCGGAAACGCGGCGGAAAGTCGCAGAAATTGCTCCGGACAGCTGGCGCTTTCCGCTCAGCCATTTTCCCATTTTCCCATTTCCCCTGTCCATTTCCCCAGCCCATTTCCCATTTTCCCATCTATCGCTGGCCATTCGTCCTATTCGAATGGATTCGCTGGGGCCCGTCAATTAAAAGGTGTGGAAAATGTGGAGTTCACATGCAAAACAACAATTTAAATGACCAAGGCGCCTCCCAAGAACCCCCCCCCCCTTTCTGGCAATATGGAAATCCAGATATGGAGGTATGTTTTATTCCTCACATACTTTTTTTCTGTAATTTTTTTCCTCGCTCTCTATAATTGGAGCAGTTCATTAATGATCATGTAATATACAAAACGTATGCGGGCATGGTCAGTGGCGGGGTAAAAAGGGGGCAAAAAGGGGGCTGCACTGGCGACAGGAAATGCAACAACACGAAGGCAGTAACAAGGAAAAGTCAGAAGGCAGGCAAATTGCATGCGATTTGCAAATTGTTTGACGATTAAGAAAGAGAAGGCAAAACTTTTGGGGCCAACAAAAAAAGAGGGAAAAAAACACAAACACCAGAGGAAAGCCAATGAAAATTAGCATTTAAATGGAGTTGGGGAAAAGCCAACCCCCCGCTGCTGACCCATCAAACAAAAATGGCGCGCGGGTTTTTTTCCCAGAAAGTAATTAATGCGGGCAGCGCAAACATCTGAAATTTCCCGGGGTTCGAAGAAATAGTTACCCAGTGGATTTTATTGTTGATACATTTATGTTAGTTATTTTCAAGTATTTCGAGTGTTACTATTTTATTTCAAAGGGATTTTATAAGTTGATGAATTGTATTCCCTACATCTGTCTAAATAAGATGAGGGTTTGATTTGGAGACCCCATCTCACAGTATTTCTTCTAGGATTTTTAGAAAACTTTTGGGGAATACCTCATTGCATACGATATTTTTTTAAGCGCGGTTTTTGCACCTTTTAAGTATAATTTTCCTTATATGCGTTATTATATGCTGTAGGTAGGATTGGTGACCCCGATTCAGTACATTTCTTCATGGATCTGGAAGGTGTTATTATAGGCTATTGGGGCTTCTTATCCTTTTGGTTGTAGCTTTTCTTATCTATGTTGTGATAAGCTAGTTAGGATTGGTGAACCCGATTTAGATCTAGAAGGGATCTTTATTTTTGGTGGTAGAGCTTCAACTAATTTTGATACAATACGATATGCTGTAAAAAAGATTTGGTGACCCCGATGTGGCGGATTTTTTCATGGATTTTTCTTGAACGTGCTATGATATGCTGTAAAAAGAACGTGGTGACCCCGATCCTGAGAGTTTTTTGGTGGATCTGGAAGGGAGCCTCGGGAATACCTTTTGAGATACCCCGGCTTCTTGGTGGGCTGCTGCTCCTTTTGGCTGGAATTTTCTTTCTTTGCGTTTGGCGCTCATTAAAGTGGAGCTACCGGTTTTCGCTCTCCCTCTGCCCGCCTCCGCCCGTCTCTTTCGCTCGCACGGTGCGCAGTGCGGCCAGTTTACATGGCCAGTTGGACTTGGCAAAGCCCCCTCCCCTCCCACTTGTGGCCAATTCGTTGGCCATTTTAATGGCCGCCGACCGAACGTCGCCGTTCCTTCTTCTTCTTCTTGGCCATTTGGGGTGTTCAGCCAACTGCAATTATTTCTTTTTTTCTGCTGGCTGTTTTTTTGTTTCCAAGTGTGTTGTTGCTTTTCTTTTAGCGCAATAATTTGCCTCTCTGTGCATTAAATGGATTTAATGAATGCGGTCCTATTAACTTTTTTGCCCAGTTTTTTCCTTTTTTCCTTCTGCAACTTGCTGCTTCTTCTGCTGTTGTTGCTATTATTAATAATAATTGGACAAGTCGTCGTCGTCCGTCGCCGTTCGTCGTCATCTGAATTTCAAATTCAACTTCAAGTTAATTTTTATTGCTGCTTTTTTTTGCCCGATGCAAAACCAAAAAAAAAAAGGAGAGAAAAAACCGAATGAAATGCGTTCCCTGAAAATCGTTGGGGAGTCAAGGGGGTTTCCCCGAGACAGGTTCGGGCTACCAAAGTAATTGCTGTTGCAAAAATGGCCGTTCCAAATGGAAATTATGCGCCATTTGCCCCCGGGAGATAAGGCGGTTTTCTGAGAGTTGAGCAGTTGCCTCTGCAGATTCCCCGAGATATTGTGGAATCTCTTTATAAACAAGTCAAGCCTTACTTATCTTCAGCACAATCTGAAATTTGTGCTTTCGGGGCAACCATATTATTCTTAAGCGGGAAATACTTTTTAAACTTAACTTATTGAAGATATACAAACAGTAAATAGCACCTTTAAAGCTAATAAAGGTATGTCCTCAATATTCAGAAATTAAAATTGTAATAAAAATAAAATCATATATGTATTTCAGTACTTTAAATACAGGTAAAAATTAAAGTGATAATCAAACTAGGAAATGAGAAATAAAATATAAGCCGTCTTCAGTATAATAAGAACTCACTTATAGGAATTTTATTTAATAATTTAAAATATGACTTGAAAAAGATAATAATACAACAATTAAATATGATATAAAAAGGATAAAACGGTTTTAATAAAATGTATAATGATGCCAAGAACTGTTCTAGTAAAGATCGAAATAGTAATTGAAAAAATTCTATAAAAATGATATAATAGCAGTTAAAGCAACTAATTACATTTTATTACATTTTCGAAATATTCGACATGTCAGATTTATTATAATTATTTGTATTATTTTCTGCTGCTAATTATATTAATTTAAGAAATCGAAACCCGAGAGTTTCCAGCCTTTCCATTCTTGTTGAGATATTCATTCTTTAGATATTTCCAAATCGATGGCAATTGATTTCCCCTCCGTGCATCCAATCAGCGCGTTTGAAGCCTGGAAAATGCCATTCATATCGCGGGACTGGCAGCTGGCGGGGAAAATAGGAAAACTACGATAACTCCGGGCCAAGCACGCTCCACAATTACCCCTACTCCACAAATCCACCGATTCGATTAGTGTCCTGCGGTGATAATCGCTTAATACAACAACGGGGAAATGGCTGAACGACTGGGGATCTCGAGATTTTAGAACTCAGAACTAGAACTCAGAGATCTCGGTTCGGAGGAGCTGAATGCCGGGATTATTGGTGGATTGGTGGGATGGGAAGCTGGATGGTGGTGCACCTATGGGTGTTTATAATTCGGTTATCCGGCGGAGGTGGAGGTGGTGCAGAGCAAATCAAATGATAAGGGTGGGTTTCGGGTCCTCAGTTCTTTTTTATTCCTGCCTTCCATAACTTTTTCCGTTTTTTTGGCTCGAGCATTGTTGTTTTCCCAGTTCATGATTATTATTGCGTTTATTACGATTTCCATTTTCGGGCCGTGTGGCTAGGGGCGTGGCCGGGGCAACGCCCCCTTTGTATATTTCATATGCACGAATATAAAAAAGTAGAATTTATATATATATTTTTTCCCGTTCCGGTGTCAGGCTTTTTCTATAACAATGACACACGAGCGACCCTCTTTGTGGCACCTTTTCCACATCCACATCCACATCCACTTCCTCTACCCAAATCTACCCATTCCACAGGAACCATCCTCATGCAGATCCTTGTCTCAGTTTCCATATGTATTTCCCTCCTCTGCTTTTCTTATGTTTTCCGTAATAATTCATAATTTCTCTCGGCGGCCCAACATGCACAACATGTAATTTGGCAGCTGATGCATTGATGGCACATCGTTATAAGTCTCGCAGCAGTTGCAATTTGCATGACGGTCGCGGTTATTAGGGAGGATGCACTTGACGATATGGATACCCCTGGATAGACCCAAGATCGTTGAGATCGTTATGCAAATGGTCTGGATAAAATGGGGATCAAGGTGTACGGGGGGTTGGAGTGGATCAGCAGGGGGAGGATCAAAGCGCCAAGCCGAGAGGAATGACCAAAATTAATTTTAACACTAATCCAAGTATAGCTAGTATAGTCAGTATATAAAAATATTATATAATATTAAAAATATGATTATAATTAAGATTTATAAAATAT